ATCCTTGCACAAGCAAACACCACTTGAGAACAGCAACTTGTCCAAAAACTTTGATCACTGTCAGTTGCCCATAATTATCAATTCTGACCTGCAGTAAACTGTGTTAGAACAAATCCAGTATTTTGCATATATTTTTGCTACTTATCGCTTGATATGTTGGTAGAGTGACCTGCTAGCTTTGATAGGTGCGTGCTATTTTTTCTTTGGCATGAATGTGACACAGTTGTAGATGCTCTCCGACCTTACCTCCTCCTTTTCAGGGTGTTTGTTTTCCATCTTTTTTCTTTTTCTATTTTTCTCTTACATTTCTTTCTCTTTGGTGCCTGACTTCAAGCATCTCTGCTGGTTACTCTTGACGTTTTTTGTTCTCCCTTTCTCTTTTTTGGCACATTCAGAGAAAATGCTGTGCATTGCCTAGGGCATATGTCTGTGGGAGAAACACAGGAGCAATACTTGAAACTGAATTTGTATGTGGCTGTACAAGGAACAGTGCTCTAGGAGTCTGCATCTGCTTTTTTTGTTAGCAGCAGCAGTAGGTCTAGGGGTACAAATACCATTAGAAGCCATGCTTCCTATTCTGTGGGACATTTTGTGGTTTGGAAACTTTCTCTGTTGCAAGTAGGGGAGAGAAAAAATAAAGGCTGCATGCAAAATAAATTCTTCTGCAAAACTGAGCTTGGATCAAAAAAAGGAATTGTTAGACACAGTATTTTGTTCCCATACATCAATAAATTTATGATTCCAGATTTTTTTCTTTCATACGTACATAAATTCATTATTTTTATATAGAAAGCAATTAAATACACAAAGCAATCAACCATTCTTCACTGAAATGGAGTAGCTACTGAACTTAACTGTTAAATAAAATGAGTTGTTTCACCAAATCCTTTATTTCATTTCTATTGCAACAAATTTTCATCACTAGTCAGAATTTTGAATTGGGAACAATTGTTTCAATATCCAAACTGTACATACCAGGAGTATGTACATACCTCAGCCCTGAACCTGAGGAGTGGTGAGAGTCAGCCTGGTTGAATAGCTGTGTGTAAATATAAAGAGATACACTGGAGAAGACAACCTGTATGCATTTTTGATAGAAGTGTCCAAAGGATGAGAAATGGTAACAGTGGTGGATTTTAATTTCTCTGGTAGCTGAAATAAGCAGTGTTAGGGCACACTTTCTTGCTATGGAGATCATTATTCCTACATGTATAAAATGTTAAGGAGTAATGCGTTCAGATTTTGTTTAGACTAAGGAAGAATGGATTAGGAGTATCAAGTCAGAAAATAATTATTGTGGATTCGATTGTGAGATGGTAACATGCACTGAAGAAGAGAAAAATGTGAGAATTGGATTAATAGACTTCAGTGAAGAGATCTTTTAACTTCACAAGTTTAGGGGACTAGTAAAGCTCTTAAAAAGATAGAACAATGAAAATAGTATGGCAAAAGCACTGTGGAGTTCTGTGAGGACATAAGATACTGTAGTTCAATGGGGATATTTTACAGATCTTGAAATCAAAGAGGGATTCCACTAAAAAGGAGAGGGAAAAAAGGATGGATAACTAGGGAGGAATGCAAAGGCATAACAGAAAAATGATTTGTTGAGGTGTGAAGTGACTCATAAGAAGTGATATGAAAAGGTTGGATGTAGTAGAAGGTAAAGTGTTAGGTGACTTCTAAGGAGAGGGCAAGTGAGTTTCTAGCATTTTGACTGACTTAGTTGAATCTGCATTGTAGAAAGTATTAATTATAACCATACTGTTATAAAAACATGTTTTAGTCCAATTTATTTAGGCAGTACACTAGATGAAATTCAGTGTAGTGCTGAGTACTTTGGCTACAAAATAGCTGTTGAGCATCTGCTGG